CACCAGATAGCTGGACAAATATGGGCTTCCCTGATAGCTTACCTGGGTTCGATCCCTGGGTTGGGAAGGTCCCCTGGAGAGGGGAAAGACCACTCAGTATTCTGGCCTGGAGAATTCCATGGACTGTATAGTCCGTGGGGTGGCAAAGAGTTGGATAGACCGAGCGACTTTCACTTTCACTGGATATCTGCTTAGATACTTTATTGTGATTATATAAATCTATGGGTCAATTTGGGGAGAAGTAACATCTTAACAATACATAGCAAAACAAATGAACAAACACACACACACAAAGCCAAACCAACCATCATGATAAAAAGGAAGAAATTATAAACTGAATATTTGCAATTCATATTAAAAAGGGGCTCACATGCCGAATATGCAAGCAACTCCTAGAAACTGATAAGAAAAAGAACACACACAGTAGAAAACCTGGCAAAAGACATGAACCCGGAGTTCACACAAAAAGAAATAAAAATAGCCTTAAATATATGAAAATATGAATAGAAATAGAATAGAAATGCCTACATATGTTCACCATGCAAAAGAATGTTCAGAACAGCATTATTTGGTAATTTTCTAAACTGGAATGTACATCAATAATAGAAAGGATAAATATTACGCAATGAGTTATATTTTTTTGTAATGGAATGCTATACAGAAATAAAAGTGAACTACAGCCACATTAAAAAAGATATTTGAAACTTAGAAATATAATGAAAGTAGTCCAACATAAAAGTCCAACATTCTGTATGATTCCATTGAAGTTCAAAAACAAGCAAAACTAATTCAGGAGTTAGAATATCTGCTACCCTGGGGGGGGGGAAAGGGCAGTGACTTGGGATGGGTACACATGGGGGGCTCCTGGAGAGCTGATATTGTTCTATTTCTTGTGGTACTGGTTACCAGGTGTGTTCCCCCTGAATAATTTACTAAGCTATACACTTATGATTTCCATAATTTTCAGTATGTGTGCTATGATTCAACACAAAAATCCTATCAATTGGATCCAGAACTTGTTTTCTGGCAAGTCCCAAAGTCAGATGGCATAGTGTTTGGTTCAAGACTCTGAATTACGTGGTCTAGATTCATATCCTGGATTTAACCATTTTCTGTCTTGGAGATCTTGGCCAAGTTACCAACTCTCTGCGCTTCAGTTTCTTCATCTGTAATGTGGGCTAACTGTAGTACCCCTCTCATAGTTATTGAGACTATTAAGCCCTCTCAATAAATATTAGCTCTTGAGTGGTCCTTCTTGGTCTTCTTTCTATGGACTATGGAGAAGATAGATGATGGCCTATGGAAGAGAAAGGAAAAGGATGAGGTTCGAGTCAAGAGACATTTTCAAATGGGGGAAGATATGATGTTAAGGTGCAGGAAAAAGAGTCCAAAGGCTTGGCTTCACGCCTTCCATTCCCTGTCTCTCACCTCCTATGCCTTTCTAACAAGGAGGTGGACTCACCAGGTGATCTCTAAGTGGTTTTTCTTTCCAACTACAACACTTTTGAGTTATTCCCAAAGTCAGATGGCATAGTGTTTGGTTCAAGACTCTGAATTACGTGGTCTAGATTCATATCCTGGATTTAACCATTTTCTGTCTTGGAGATCTTGGCCAAGTTACCAACTCTCTGCGCTTCAGTTTCTTCATCTGTAATGTGGGCTAACTGTAGTACCCCTCTCATAGTTATTGAGACTATTAAGCCCTCTCAATAAATATTAGCTCTTGAGTGGTCCTTCTTGGTCTTCTTTCTATGGACTATGGAGAAGATAGATGATGGCCTATGGAAGAGAAAGGAAAAGGATGAGGTTCGAGTCAAGAGACATTTTCAAATGGGGGAAGATATGATGTTAAGGTGCAGGAAAAAGAGTCCAAAGGCTTGGCTTCACGCCTTCCATTCCCTGTCTCTCACCTCCTGTGCCTTTCTAACACAGGAGGTGGACTCACCAGGTGATCTCTAAGTGGTTATTCTTTCCAACTACAACACTTTTGAGTTAGAGGAGTAATACAAATGCCATCCAAAAGCCAAACACAAATTTTCATGTTTGATCCAAACCCAAACACAAAGGCCCAGAAACTTGGGAAGTAAGGAAGTTTAATTCTCAGCAATGATAATATGGGTTATTTTTATTTTCTCCATTCAATATTTTTTTTCTATTTTAAACAATGTGTGTTGCTTATTCTGAACAAAACATCATACTTGATATATCCATGCCTACATATTTATATCTATACATTTAAAAATTTAAAAAACCCACATAATAGATATGCCAGAAAGCATCTGGGCAGGGAAAACATGGCTTCTGATGTACAAGCCAGTAGGACCTCCTCGACAAAACAGAGATCTTGCGAACTGCAAATAATTCCTGAGCATTTCCAATATTTTTACTGTGTTTTTCATCCATAACCTCAGGTAAACATACTTTCGCTGTTTCCAGCTAAAATTAGCCCAATCACTTGTTATAATATTTCACTTTGTTAGTAAAACCTGGGACCAAAGAAGAGGAATAAAAGGGCTTTCTACTCACTGTTTTTTAATTTCTGAAACTAGCCTGGACAGAATGACCACTTGTTTAAGGAGGTTGTCATAGGGAGCATTTATGAGCACCTGGGACAGGGATCCCTCTGAGAGCAGTCGGGAACCCCAAGTCTGTAGGAAACCTGCGCTGCGTTCAGCGTCCGTCACAAGTACCTTCCGCCCTGGCCGTGCAGAACGCTGGGTGCTTGTGTGGGAAAGAGCCACCACTGGGAGTCAGACCAGGACACTCCAGGTGTTCCTGCACTTACCAGGAAGCATTCACTGTGTCTGAATTATGTGCAGGACACTGTGCTGAGGGCAGTCAAAGCTGGATGAGAGATAGGAGGCCAGGCCTTCCTCACAGGAAACACCTCCCAATAGGATGCCCTTAACTCCTGCATTTGACAACCAACACACAAGCAATCAATGCAGAGAAATAGAGGAGAACAGCAGACGGGAAACACTGGAGATCTTCAAGAAAGTTAGAGACACCAAGGGGACATTTCATGCAAAGATGGGCTCAGTAAAGGGCAGAAATGGCATGGACCTAAGAGAAGCAGAAGATATTAAGAAGACGTGGCAAGAATACACAGAAGAACTATACGAAAAAAAATCTTCAGGACCCAGATAATCATGATGGTGTGATCACCAACCTAGAGCCAGACATTCTGGAATGAGAAGTCAAGCGGGCCTTAGGAAATATCACTACCAACAAAGCTAGTGGAGGTGATGGAATTCCAGCTCAGCTATTTCAAATCCTAAAAGATGATGCTGTGAAAGTGCTGCACTCAATATGCTGGAAAATTTGGAAAACTCAGCAGTGGCCACAGGACTGGAAAAGGTCAGTTTTCATTCCAATCCCAAAGAAAGGCAATGCCAAAGAAT